AAAGAACAAGACAAGTGGAATATCGAATGTGCAGAGAGAGAAATAAATAAAGAAAGAAAGAAAGAAAGAAAAAAGAAAGAAAGAAAGAGAATAATAGAAGAAAAAAAAAAGAAAGAAAGAAAGAAAGAAAGAAAGAAAAAAGAAAGAAAGAAAGAAAAAAGAAAGAACAAGACAAGTGGAATATCGAATGTGCAGAGAGAGAAATAAATAAAGAAAGAAAGAAAGAAAGAAAAAAGAAAGAAAGAAAGAAAGAAAGAGAAGAATAGAAGAAAGAAAAAAGAAAGAAAGAAAGAAAGAACAAGACAGAAAAAAGAAAAAAGAAAGAAAGAAAAAAGAAAGAACAAGACAAGTGGAATATCGAATGTGCAGAGAGAGAAATAAAGAAAGAAAGAAAGAAAGAAAGAATGAAAGAAAAAAGAAAGAAAGAGAAGAATAGAAGAAAGAAAAAAGAAAGAAAAAAGAAAGAAAGAAAAAAGAAAGTATAAGACAAGTGGAATATGGAATGTGCAGAGCGAGAAAGAAAGAAAGAAAGAAAGAAAGAATGAAAGAATGAAAGAATGAAAGAAAAAAGAAAGAAAGAGAAGAATAGAAGAAAGACTGGTGGAATATAGACTGTACAGAAAGAGATATATTGAAAAAAGGAAGGAAGGAATGAAGAAAGAAAGAAAGAAAGACTTGTGGCATATAGAATGTGCCGAGACAGAGAGAGATAGAGAGAGAGAGAGAGAGATAGAGACAGAGAAATATTGAAATAAATCAATAAATATATAAGACAAAAAAAGAAAGGAAGGAAGAGAAGAAAGAAAGACTGGTGAAATATAGAATGTTCAAAAAGCAACATTGAAAGAAAGAAAGAAAGAAAGAAAAAAGAAAGAAAGAAAAAACGAAGGAAGTAGAAAAGAAACAAAGCCTTGTGTATGAGGGAATTTAACTAAGAAATCATGGAATACAAAAAGACAAAGTGTAATACAGGAATTTATAAGGAAATAAATAAATAAATAAATGAAAGAGAATGAAAGACTTGAGACACAATGAAAAACCGGGGGAACATCAACAAAGAAAGAAAGAAAGAAAGAAAGAAAGAAAGAAAGAAAGAAAGAAAGGAAGAAAGAAAAGAACAAGTGAACGACTAATGGAATATAGATGTGCAGAGTGTTAGAGAGAGGGGGAGAAAGAAAAAAAAAGAAAGGAGCGAAAGAATAGAAAGAAAAAAAGAAAGAAAGAGAAGTCTGAATTAAATAAAGATCAGTGGATTATCCGTGATTTATAAAAGTCGATCAGTAAAATCAGTTGACATAAATTGTTTGTTACCTTTAATAACAATATTAACACACACACACACATATATATATATATATATATATATATATATATGTGTGTGTGTGTGTGTGTGTGTGTGTGTGTGTTTGTGTGTGTGTGATAAAATAATAGCTGGCTACTCGTATTCGGGGATACCCGTCAACTAGGGTGAGTAGCCAATCCCTATTGTAGACTCTCGCTCAGGCACATTTTGCGTTTACTCAACACCCACAGAGCCCCCCTGTGGTTCATACGGCAACTATACTGAGCAGACCTTAGTTACAGTTTCTGGGAGAGAGTGTTTTATCTATCGTGATCAACAATTTGAAAAAGGCCAGCACGCTCAAGCCCTCGGCCACGATGACTTTTGGTTTCGTGCTAGCACAGATATCGACAGCCCACAAGAGTTCCGTCTACCCAATTTCACTCACATGGCTTGAGTCAATCCGTGGTATGGTTTTCAGGCACTTTCCAAAGGTCCCGCATGCTGGGACCCAGTCCGATAACATTAGGAATTCGCCTTCCTCACAAATCGACCCTAGTGAGATTCGAAACCGGGTCTAATGATATGAAAGCGAAAGTTTAAGCCACGTTATATATATATATTAATAGTTGCAAGTTTTCCGCATGGATGAATTCAATTACATATATATGCTTCAGTGATACTTTCATGACAGACGTTCTTTGTCAAACTACCACTTTTATTTTCAGTATTTTTTCTTGTCATGTTTAGAAACAAACTGACATAATTTCATAATTCTAATCTTCCTTTTTCTATCTTTTTTTTAGGTAAGCACCATTAACTAAGCCGGCAACAAAGAAAGAACAAAGGATTCTACTCATATATATATATATATATATATATATATGTTCAGATTTGATTATATTCCACCGATCAAGGTCTGTTTCCTCCAATTTATTTTTCTTATCTATTTGACATTTCCAGACAAGGAATTTTACAGGATGAGAAAAAAAGTTTCACAACATAGATTTCTAAGATTCTTTTAGCCATTAAGAAAGAAGTTTTATTTTTTATTTTATTTTTAACTGAATGTGTGTCTTCTTGCTACGTGCCCATAAACATGAATATATATATATATATATATATATATATATATATATAAACATGCACTCACAGACACACACACACATATATATATATATATATATATATATATGCCTGTCTTTGTGCCTGTCTTTGTGTATATATACTTTTTAGGTGTCAAATTCACGGTGTCATACATATATATCAAATTGACGCTGTTCAAATATTTCATTTGTATTCCCTTACTTCTTAAATTAAAGAACTGCATTCATATTTATGATTGCTATTGCAATGCTCTGTTAAATTCAAGCTCAAATATTTAACGATGAAAGAAAGAAAAAAAGAAAGAAAGAAACAAAAAAAAAAACAAAGGAAAGAACAAATGAGGTCGAGAAAGACGAGTGGAATATAACGTGCAGACAGATAGTGCGAGAGAGAAAGAGAAAGAAAAGAAAGAAAAGGGTGTAGGAATGGAAAGAAAGAAAAAAAGACAGAAAGAAAAGCCTTAAAAAAATAAACATTAGAGAAATATAAAATGTGCAGAGAGAGAACTATTGAAAAATGGGAAGGAAGGTTCGAAATAAGGAAAGAAAGAAAGCAAAAAAAAAAAGGAAGGAAGGAAGGAAGAGAAGAAAGAAAGCGATGTTTGAAAGAAAGAGAGACTAGTGTAATATAGAATGTGCAGAGAAGGAAATATAGAAAGCAAACAAGAAAGAAAGAAAGAATGAAAGAAAGAAAAGCAATTGACGTTGTAGAAATTTGTAGAGACGAAAAAATGAATAGTTGCAAGATAATGGAATTAAATAAATCAATAACTAAAAAAAAGAGAGAAATTCCACTGACGGAAATTACTGTAAGACAGAACGAAATAAAACGAAATAAGAAAAGGGGAAAGAAATGAGAAGAGAAAAACAGAGGATCAAAATAACAATAAATACGTATAAGATTTATATATATAAAGGCAAAAAAAGAAAGAACGAATAAATGAATTGCAATAAAAGGAAATTAAAGAAAGGAAGTTAGTTACACGGAACAGTAAAAAAAAAAAGAAATGAAGAAAACAAGGAGAAACAAAAAAAAAAAAAGAAAATAATTACAAAGGAAAAGTGTTGTGGAAAAAAAGAAAGAAAGAAAAAAGAACTTAAAAGAAAAAAAAAAGAAACAAACAAAGGAAGGAGAAAAGAAGGAAAATGAAGAGGCGCCAAAATATTGAGAAATTCAAGTCGGAATTGTTTGACAGAACGAATAGCGAAAAAAAAAATGAGGAAAACAAAGGGAGAAAACTCATTACGACCACGGAAAAGAGAGAAAAAGAAAATAAAACAAATAGAAAAAGAGAAT